AATCAACTTGCTGAGATGTAGAAGAACTGGGATTAATTAAGGGATCCCCTAATCCTAGCATCTCAGAAGGATTCTGGCCTTTGACATGTTCTTGCAGCTCTTGATGAAACAGCTTTCTACCATATTTAGTGTCATCAAATTCCATCCACTCCAGTTTTGCTCCCAAGACTAACTGCTGTTCAGTCAATAGAACATTTTGAAACCGGCAAGTGTTCCTTGTTTTCCACATCCACCAAAGGAGATAGGTGGATAGTGAAATTCTGTCTCTATTGTATTCAGAGGTGCTCATGCTGTTCAGAGTCAGCCACCAATCCAGAAAAGTAGTCTGCCTATCTTCCAAGCAGTTCCATTTGAGGCCTGCAAGCTTCCATACCCTTTGAGCTCTAGGACAGAAGAACATTATGTGCTCTAGGTTTTCTTCAGCTTCACCACAAATACTGCATATGACATCTACCTGTATTCCTTTCTCCTTCAATCTACACATGGTGGCCACCCAATTGTGGATGCATCTCCACAGGAAGTTCCTAACCTTTGGCTTGATTTTTAACTTCCAGAGTCTTCTCCACATCTCCTGCTTAGCTTTATCTCCATTGCTGCTTTCAGCCCTCTCATTCTGTCTCAGCTTTGATTGAAGAATTGCATTGTAGGCTGCCTTCACAGAGAATTGCCCCCTTGGATCTGTGTGCCAAATCAGCTTATCATTCATATTCTGGCTACTGATATGAGTCTTCAAAATGAGATCTGCATCCATTGGGGTGAAGGTCTGAAGGATTAGATCAGTATCCCATTTGTTTTCACCTGCAATCATAAGGTCACACACCCTTTGCAGTTTAATTCTGTCACCTTCAAAACAACAAGTTGGTTTGAAATGATTTGAGTTAGGTATCCAGGGGGAATCCCAGACCCTAATTGATTGCCCATTCCCAACTTGGTATCTCAAACCCAGAGCTAAAGAAGTCCTACACTCAAGCCACCCTTTCCACAGCCAAGAGTCAGAGTCTTTTTTCCTAACTTCTAAAAAACTTTGCTTCAGACAGTATCTACTTCTCATCACTCTGCTCATAAGAGTATTTGGCTTAGTCAACATTCTCCAAATCTGTTTCAAAATAAGGGCTTCATTCATGAGACTAAGATCTCTAAACCCCATTCCTCCTTCTAGCTTAGGGATAGCTAATCTGCTCCAAGAGGCCCAATGTATTCTATTTCCCCCATCTTCCTTCTTACCCCACCAGAATTGAGCCACATCTCTGCAAATGTCTAAACAAACCCCCACCGGCAGTTTGAACACAGACATGACATATAGAGGAAGAGCACATAACACAGTTTTAATTAGAATTTCCTTTCCAGTTTCACTCAAAAAAGAGTTTTTCCAGCTGGTTACTTTATTAATCACACTTTCTCTCACAAAAGCAAAAGTTTCTTTTTTGTTCCTACCTATCCCCATTGGAAGACCCAAATACTTGGATTTTTTTGCCACAACAATCCCTTGAAGGATTTGACAGATGCTGCTTTGATCTTGGGCTGAGGTATTGGCAGAGAAAAAAATGTTGGATTTATGGAAATTTACAGACTGACCTGAGGCTGCACAATAAGAATTCAGAATGCTCAATAAAACAGATGCATGGTGGTCATCAGCTTGACAAAAAATTAAAGAGTCATCAGCAAAAAATAGGTGGGATATGGTAGGGGAAAATTTACTGATTCTTAACCCTTTGAAAGACTGAGAAAGGCATGCTTTATGAATAAGGTTCGAAAGAGCTTCAGTAATAATAATAAAAAGGTAAGGAGATAGTGGATCTCCTTGCCTTATTCCTCTGGAGGGAACTACTTTACCTAAGTTTTGGCCACTGAAGTTAAATGAAAAGGAGGAGGATGAAATACAAGACCAAATCCACCTCAAAAACTTATCACAAAACCCCAGATGTTTACAGATTTTGATAACAGAACTCCACTCTACTCTATCAAAGGCTTTGGCCATATCTATTTTAAGGGCCATGAACTTTTGTTTTCCTTTTTTTTTGCTATTAAGAAAATGAAGACATTCATTTGCAATGATGATATTATCAAGGATTTGCCTATCTGGCACAAAAGCGGCTTGAGACTGGGAAACACAAAACTTAATCACACCTTTAAGTCTAATAGCAAGAATCTTGGAGATTAATCTATAGGTAACTGTACAAAGGCTAATAGGCCGAAAATCAGAAACAAATTTGGGGTTTTTGCTCTTAGGTATTAAAGTAATGACTGTGTGATTAGTAGCTTTAGGAATACAGCCCGAGGATAGAAAATTGTTCACAGCCAAACACAAATCAGCTTTGATTATGGACCAGCAAGATTGAAAAAAAGAAGGGGAGAAGCCATCATTACCTGGGGCTTTACCGGAGTCCATCTCCCACAGTGCATCCTTGACTTCCTCTTCATCCACAGGTTTTGTTAAGTTCTGATTCATTTCATTTGTTATTGCCCTAGGGATGCCCAGCAAAATTTCCTCATCGTTCACAGGGTTTTCAGAGGTGAAAAGTTGTTGAAAGTAATCAGTCACTTCAGCTACAGCATCTGCCTGAGTTGCACATCTTTCCCCAGTTCTTTTGATCAAGTTTTCAAGACTGTTCCCACTTCTTCTCTGCCTAACACAGGCTTGGAAGAACCTGGTATTCTGGTCACCTTCAGCTAGCCACCTCACTCTTGATTTTGTCTTCCAGAAAAGCTCTTCGTCCTTGTATGCTTGTTGCACTTTTCTCTTGCAGGAGGCCCATTCATCCCAATCTTTGTTTTCACTTTGTAAACATAACATGGCCAGTTTATCATTACATTCTTTTATAGTTTTGGAAGAATTAGAGGTTCTGCTTGTTAACCAACCCAGTAGCCCCATCTTGACATTCCTCAATTTCTTCTGAAAGCTGTATAACCCTGGGCCATTAACTTCCACATTCCAAGCAGTTGTAATACACTCCTTAAAACCTTCCTCTTTCACCCACCTGTTATCAAAGGAGAATTTCTTTCTGCTCCTCTGCTCTGTCCCTATATTGTCCATAAGTAAAAGGCAATGATCTGAAGAGATAAGGGGAATGTGCAGGACACTAGCCTTAGGGAATTTCATGAGCCACTCTGGGGACAAAAGAATTCTGTCTAGTTTGACCTCCACAAAATCATCTCCCCTTCTATTGTTGGACCAAGTGAATGGGTGACCTAGACTAGGGCATTGAGCAGAACCCAAAAGGTGGACAAAATTTCTGAAATTTTGAAAAGAAGCCTCACTCCTAACAATACCCCCATTTTTCTCAGAGTTATTGAGAATGTCATTGAAATCCCCTCCAATAAACCACAAGCTACCCCAGGAAAGATGATGTCTGATCAAAATCTCCCACTGACTCTGTCTAACATAGGGATCCACACTAGCATAAAGGAAAACCCCCCACATTTTATCAGACAACCCCTCACATTGAAAGCAGACCTCAAGACTGAATTGGTTGTTGATGATATCCAAAACCTTAATTTTATCAGACCAACACAACAAAAGACCACCCCTACTACCTATGGGATTAACACACTCCCACCTATCCCCTACATGCAGGTTTTTACAAACAGTTTGAACAAAAGATTTTTGTTTTTTGGTTTCAGACAAAAAGATAAAATCAGGAAGGTAGGCTCTGACCTTGTCCTTCAACTCGGAAATTGTAGAGGGTCCTCCCAAACCTCTACAATTCCACACCAGGACTCTCATTTGGAAACTTGGGACCAGTTATGGCTGGTTTCCTCCACCACATTTTTAGAAACAGTCTGTACAGATTTCACTTTTTTAGGAAGGGATTCAGATTGGATAAGACTATCAGTCAAAGATACAGGGAGTTTTCTTTTCAAAATCATGGGAGAGATCACTGGTTCTGAAGTTTGAGCTTCTTTAGAAACCGGTTTAGGGTTCTCAGACACCTTATTTCTAACCATTCTAGTGAAGGTTTTAGGTTTTTTAGCACAAGAAGGAGGAGACTTATCTTGCTGAATTGGGATGTTTATGAAATTACCACTATCAAAGACTGGAAGCTTAGCACTGTCCAGATCCATTTTGTCAGAAACAAGAACTGCAGTATCAGGTCTAGAATCATCAACAACCTTCACTTGATGAGGGCTTTCTTTTCCTGAACCCTCAGAACAGGCTACAGGCTTTTTAGCAATGTTTTCATTAGCATCTTACTTTTAAGATTTATGTTTGAGATTTGGCGCTCTAAGACTATATTCCTAATTAGGAATACTGAACGCGTTGGCATAGTATATATTTGTCTAACATATCCAGAACAAAACAAAATAAAATAAAAACTCAAATTTAAAAGGGCAACTGGTGTATCAATATATTTAATTTACATTCTATTCACAATTATACATATTTATATATTATAAAAAAGTAATTTTGTTATTTATTTTCTACTAAAGTTAACTGTCCAATTGCCATAAAATCTTATAAATGGTCATATACTCATAAAAAAAATGTGTATAAGTAAAAAATCAACAATATTTTTTCTAAATGAATAGCTTATGAAGTATCGAATTAAGTACCAAACACTATTATGTTTTCCGAGTGTGTTAACCTCACAGAAGTACTCGTGCTTCCTAGCTTTGAGCTAAATGGAACACTGATAAATTATTTGTTAAATTTTAAAATTGCAAAAAGTTAAATGTGAATAATTCGGATTTTAACATATATAATAATTAAAATGTTAAATAAAATATATCTAATTTTAGTTAAACTGCATAACAAAACCAAAAACAAAGCCCTAAAAATAATATTAACTTTTCAAATACCCAGAGATTAATTAGCATGTGAGACTATACAGAATTTAATCAATACAATAGAGTGCCATGATTCAACACATACCATATACAGATGCATCACTCTATAGAACAACTAAATGCTGCAAGCAAACACCATATCTAAATAGCACTTTAAAATGCCATTTTTTTATTTCTTTTGGAACATTCAGAAATTTTTGTATTCAAAGTCCTTAATATGAAGATTTATCGACAGTATCGGACCCCACAAGCCGAATAGTTTTCGAATCTATTAGCAAGTCGAGTGATGTTAGAGAATGAGGAGAAAGAAGAACGTCCATTTCCTCCCCTACATCGTCCATCTCCACTTTACTCGGTACAACCTGTGCAAAAAAACATAGACGAGGCATTTTTCGAAAAATTACAAGAATTGAAACTTAAAAGTGAAGACGAAAGGTTAACAAATGACTAAACATTGATGGTCTTGATTGCGATTTTTTTACTATAAGAAGTGAATATCATGGAAGTCTTTGGAAATTGGGTATTCTTTGCAATAAACCTTGGGTTTACCCTAAGGCTATATAGGTTGTGCTTGGTAAGCATATAAGCTTGCTTATTTGATTAATGTATTCAAATAAGTTTTGTTTGGTAGGACGAGTTTTTTTTTTTTTTTTTATATAAAAGCTCGACCTTATCTGATAAGCTACCTTGGATAACTTTTCAAATAAGCCCATTAAAATTTTTATTTCAACTAACTTATCAGTTAATTTACCAAACATTTATAGAAATATCCAGCTCTATTATTAACGAATGCATCATCGACCATGAACATTTGTTACAATTTTCCGGCTTCCAAGCCTTGTTGGGGCATTTATTTGGAGAAAAATAAACCTCAAATGGAATTTTTGTAGGGTACACTCACTCGAGTATATTGCAACTAGTCTAAACCAATGATAATGGTTCAAGTGAACGAGTACCTTATTAGGAACTTGGAAAGAATTCTCATCCATCACGTTGCTTGAAGTTAATACGGTCTTCGTCGAGCCGGACGATTGCAAAGAGTTCACCTCCAATCCCACAATGGATACTTGAAGTGTCACATTATTGCTTCCAAAATTCACCACCTGTGAAGATTTTAATAATATCTTGAGATGTTAATTTTGTGTGAAATGACTTGGTACATAATTTGGTCATGAAATTATTATTCAAATTATTCTTAGTAAATTTATTCTGTTTCTCTTATAATTCTATTTAACAAATTGCACATTCATTAAGGTATTTTTAATTGTGCAAG